GGGCGTGGCCAGGGCCGACGAGCCGTTATAGGCACCGCAGTGCGGGGGCGTGGCTCGCGGGAGGGGGCGTGGTCATGCCCCGTCTGGCGGCCCCACCGCTCTTCCTGGGACCCTTCCCGGGACCCTTCCCGGTAGCGCTCCCGCCGCCCCCGCCCCGCGCGCGGCCGGGCCCTTCCTTACGTGCCCAGGGAGCGGGCGGCGGCGGCGGCGAGCGGCGGGCGGGGCGGGGCGGGGGCGCGGGGCAGCCGGCGGAGTATCATGGCGGCGGCGGCGGCGGCGGCGCTCGGGCCCTGAGGCGGTGCTCGCGAGCGGCTCCGCCCCCGGCCCCGCCCCTGTAGCGCCCCCCAGCGGCGGGTGGGCGGCCGTGCGGGCGCGGGAAGGTCACGGCGGGGCCGCTCTCGCCGCCCCCGGAGCCGCCGCTCGGGGAGAGCCCGGGGTGGGCACCGGCGGGAGGGCCCCGGGGGTGGCACCGGCGGGAGGGCCCCGGGGGTGGCACCGGCGGGACGGCCGGGCGGGCCCCCGCGGCTGCGCTCCCGCCCGCGGGCACAGCGGCACCCGCGCCGCCGCCGTCCGGCGGCTCCTGCCCCTTTGTCCCTGCCCGGCCGAGCGTGGCGGAGGGCGCGGGGAGCGGTCGGGCAGGGCGGCCTCGCCCCAGCGCGGCTCCCCGAGCGGGGGGAGCGCCCCGCGGCCAACCTTCCCCCCCCCCCGGGGGACCCAGACTTTGGACCGGCGGGCAGGGAGTGTCCCCGCGGCATCCAGCGGCTCCGGCAGCGCCTCCCGACCGCGTGGGGAGCTGCCCCCGGAATGCAGGGGGGTAACGGGTGTGCCCCCCCCGCCACCCCTCCCACCCGAGCAGAGACCCCCAGGGCGGGGAGAAAGGGGTGCGGCTGAGCCTCTGCCAGTCCCCACCCCAGTGCCGTCCCGGTGCTGTCCTTGGAGGGTGTGTAGGGTTTCCCTTTGGGAGTAATGCCCGTAAAGGGTGTGTAGGGTGTCCCTCTGGGGGGGGCTGTAGCCCGCTGCCCCCCTCCCTGTGACCCCACAGCCCAGCGACACTCGGGTACCAAAACAGGACACGTTTATTGACAAATGTAACCGATACAGAACACGCGTAACAGGGACAGACGGTGCCCGGCCGGCAGCGATGGGGGGGACACGCCGGGGGGGGCACCGTCCCCATCCCGCCCCCATCCAGCCCCATGGGCGCGGCGGGGCCTCGCCGGCCGCCGCTTCTCCCGCCGACCCGAAACTGCCTCGTGTTTAACCGAAACTGTCTCTATTTACACAGCCCGGCCCTGACCCCGCCGCCGGCCCGTCCCCTCCTTCGCGCTCCCCCCGCCCCGGCGCTGCCGTGCCCGGGTCCCACCGAGGGCCCTGGGGGTCCCGGGGAGGGTGGGGTGAGGTGGGGGGTGCCGGGGGATCCCGGGGGGGGGCTCAGACATAGTTCCTCTTGTCGTAGCTGGTGACGGCGGAGCGCGGGGCAGAGTAGGCCACTTTGCCCGTGGGGTACCTGTCCTCTTTGGGGGGGCAGGAGCAGCAGAGCAGGGCCCCCCCCAGCAGCAGGAGCGCGGAGGCCGCCCAGCCCACGTAGAGCGAGGTGCCCAGCTCCCGCTTCTGCGCGTCGATCACCAGCGGGTTGTAGAAATCCCGGATGATGGTGTTGGCCGACCAGCACACGGGGATGAGGGTCATGATGCCGGAGAGCAGGAAGATGACGCCGGCGACGATGGTGATCTTGGCCTTGGTGCTCTCGTCCTCCACGCAGCGGGTGCACTGGGCGCCCACAATGGCCACCATCAAGCCCATGACGGCCAGGACGATGGCCACCACCAGGAGGGCGCGGGCGGCCTGCAGGTCCTGCGGCAGCGCCAGCATGGAGTCGTACACCTTGCACTGCATCTGCCCCGTGCTCTGCACCACGCAGTTCATCCACAGCCCTTCCCAGATGATCTGGGCCGTCACGATGTTGTTGCCGATGAAGGCCGTCACCCTCCACATGGGCAACGCGCAACAGATGATGCTGCACAACCACCCCAGCACCGACAAGGCCACGCCGCCGATCTCCAGCCCCATGGACATGGTGGATGGTTCAGTGACGCGCTCCGGGCGATGGCAAAGAAGGACCCACGGACCGAATCCGTCGCCGTCACCCGCCGCCGCTCGCAGCCCGTGGGGATCGGCTTTCACCTGTGCGCAGTGGCATTTATACGGCCGGCCCGGGGTGGGGTTTCAGTGCTGCCTGCTGGACGCTCCTCTGCGCTCCTCCGTCACCGTCACCTGCGTCCCACACCCTCCCCTTTGTTTGCAGAGATGGCGCCGGGTAACCAGAGAAGGGCGGGAGGAGGAGAAACGCCACCTGCCACGGCCATCCCCTTGGTTTCGGGCGATAGGTATCGGGAAACACAAGCACCAGACTCATTCTGACCTGCCAACCCCTTTCAGGGGACGTGGAAATGCCAAAGGCTCACCTTTCCTCCCTGGAGGTGCTGGCGGGTCAGGGTTTGGTTGATTTCTGGAGCATGTTATCAGTGCTCACGTTTAACTGGGGTTCGGTGAGCACTGGGCGCTTTTGCATCACCGTGCAAAGTGCAACCCCTTCGCTGTGCCGAGGTTTGTGCCCCCATTCCAGGGGACCCACGGGTGCTCCCGGCCTGGCAGGAACCGTGGGAGCAGGTTCTACCCCCGCCCAACCCCCTCCTGCTCCCACCGTGCAGGGCCGGGAGCACTGTCAGGGATACTCTGACTGACTGATAATGATCTTTACTCATCCTGCACAAGTCTCGTGGCCTTGAAGGAAGCAGATAATGCACGTAACCACCCCGGCAGCGTCACCCCGACAACCTGAGCTGGCAGTGGCAAAAGGAAAAATATCCTAAGGCATGAGCAATCCCCTCAGACCTGTGAACCACAGTCTGTGGGGTGTGGGGTGCTTGTGTCCCCCCCTCAATCTTTGCGTGCTGGGGGTAGGGCCAGCATTTCCAGCCCCCCCCCTCCGCCCAGGAATGTGGTTGCTGGACACGGACTTGCTCTTACCTGTTCCCTGCTCGCTCCAAAAATCTCCTCTACAACTTATTAACTACTCAAGAGCGCGGTGGGATGCTGGCAGCTGGCGCTGTGGAGGGAGCCCTGGGAGGGGGGTGGGAGCCCTGTGACCGCCTGGCTGTACCCCCACAGCACCATGACGCCCTCATAGCTGGGGGAGGGGGCGGATTTGTGTGCCCCACAGCACCCTGATACCCTCTATCTGGGCTGTCACCATCTGTTGATCTGCAGCACACTGAACCCCCACAGCCAGTGGGGCCACCCCACAGCACCCTGACACCCCATATCTGTCTGGGTCAGCTGTTGTCACCCCCTGTCATTGCAGCACTCTGTATCCATCCAGGTTGGCCTCCAGCCCCTTGCAGCCCCCTGTGTCTGACTTCGACCACCCTGTGACACCCCAATACCCCATATCCAACCAGGTTAACCTCTGCCAACCCATGGCATCCCCAAAATCCCCAGGATGCGGCTAGGTGAGCTTCTGCAACCCCACTGTACGCTGATCACCCCCCAAGGGGACCCCAATCCCCACAGACAGTTGGTATGTGCTGCTGGGGGGGCCCCATCCAGGCATGTGCCCTCATTGCTGGGGGTACTGGGGGTCCTAGCCCTTGAGGGACCCGGTCCATGACCCAGTGCTGCTGGCAGGTGATGGTGGGCACAGGGAGGTGCCAGTGGCAAACAGGGGGGTCTGGGCTGTCCGAGGGCCACCAGGTGTGCAGGCAGGGGCGTGGCAGCGGCCCCGGGGTGTAGGTGTGCACAGGGGCACACACAGACACACACAGACACACACAGACACCCACCCCCTCTGCCAGCAGAGACACCCCCACATGCAGCCACACACAGACAGACTCACAGACACGCAGAGACACACACAGACTCACATACACACGCAGACAGACTCACAGACACACACAGACTCACAGACACACAGAGGCACACACAGACAGACTCACAGAGACTCACTGTCTCACAGACACAGAGACTCAAGACACACACACACTCACAGATACACAGACACGCAGCCAGATACACAGAGAGACTCACAGAGACACACACACTGAGACACACAAACACACATGGAGACTCACAGACATGGAGACTCACAGCCACACAGACTCACAGACAGCCAGACACACAGCCAGACTCACAGAGACACACAGCCAGATTCACAGCCACACGCACAGCCAGACTCACACAAACATACAGACTCACAGACACACACAGACACTTACACCCAGACACAGACACACAGAGACTCACAGACAGACTCACAGACACATGGACAGACTCGCACACAGACACAGAGATGGAGGTGAACAGGCACAGGCTGGCAATGCAGGTGCTCACACGCCCCTGGCACACACATGGCTGCACACACACCAGCACATGCACACACAGCCACATGGCTGCAGGGGCTCTGGGGCAGAGGGTACCCCTGGCAGAGTCAGGGGGATACCCCACGCAGGGCTGTGGGGTAGGAGAGTACCCCAGGCAGGGAGAAGGGAGCGCCCCAAGCAGGGCTGTGGGTCGAGGGTACCCCAGGCAGGGTTCTGGGGTGCAGATGTACCCCAGGCGGGGCTCTAGGACAGGGTTATACCACAGGCAGGGCTCTGGGGCAGGGTTTTATCTCAGGCAGGGCTCTGGGGCGGGGTGTACCCCAGGAAGGGTTGTGGGACTCAGGAGTACAGGCAGGGTTATACCACAGGCAGGTCTGTGGGGAAGCGGGGATACTCCATACAAGGACAGGGGGCAAGGGGTACCCCAGGTGGAGGTGCGGGGTGGGGGGGATACCTTCTAGAGGGCTGTGGGGCAATGGGGACAACTCAGGTAGGGCTGTGGTGCAGGGGGAGAGGTGGATACTTCAAGCAGGTATGTGGGGCAGGGGGATACCCCTGGGGTAAGAGCTCCTGGGGCAGAGTGGGGTGGGATGAGGCAGCAAAGCACGGCAGCCCCCGACCCTGCAATCAGCCCCACGCGCCGCGTCCTTACACTTTGTCATCCCAAATTGCCAAAGTACAGGCTCTGTCCAGTGTTGTGTCTGCCTGGGGCAGCCACGGCCACTTGACTCACTGTGGGGGAAGGGGCAAATCACTGGGGTTTCAGGGTTCCAGTCACCTCTGTCAGGACACATTCTTGTGGTGAGGAAACTGGATCAATAGTGTTTACCAAAGAGCTGAATGGAGCCAGTGTCCCTGTGGGGGCCCCCCATCCCTCCTGCCGCATCCCCCTCCCTGTCCCCCACAGCTGGGGAGGGATGGGGAGTATCCAAGTCCCCCGGGAGAGGGATAGAGCAGGGTGGCCACATTTGTGGGCACACAACAGTGACATGGTGACAGGTTTGCCTGCTGTGGACACGGAGAGGCCAAATGAGGGTCAGACCCCAAAGGCCATGAGAGCATCACCAGATCGGTGGCTCACACTGCGGGAAGGACACCTAGGGCGAGCAGGAAGGACGGGGGGCACGGGGGGACACCCAGTGCAGCATCCCCTTCCTGCCATGCACCCAGCACCCATCATCCCGGGGGTGAGCAAGAGGTGACGGCAGCAACAGCCCCGGGTGCCTCGGGGCCGCGTCCCACTCACGTGCGCGGCAGCCCGCGCAGGATTTTGGGGTGTTTCCCCTCCGCTGCGGTCGGGAGTGCCGCGCGTTCCCCCCCGGGGCGAGCGGGGCCGGGGCGGTAAGTGCTGCCTCGGCCGCTTATATTTCAGGCGCGGGGCTGTTGGCTCGGTCCTGACCAGGGCACACAGGCAACCCATTGTTGGAACCCCTCCGACGCGGCGGCGAGCAGGTAAAGGCGGCTCCGAGCATCAATGGCAGCTCTGTCTGCCGGCGGGGCGGGGCGGGAGGTGCCGGCACGCGGGGGGCTGGGGGGCACCGGCCAGCGGGATGTGGCAGGGGGCTCACCTGGGGGATGGATGCTGGGCCGTGCTGGGATCGGCTTCGCCACAGCATCCCCTTCCTGCGAGCATCGCCTGCTAAGAGACTCCCGTTGCACCGCCCGCATCCTCCTTCCTGATCCCTTGGTCATCCTCTCCCCCATCCCTTCTCCTATCACCTCGGCAGCGCTTGGGGGTGTTTTCCCTGTCGGGAGCCACTTGTTGCTCAGAAATTGGACAGAGCTTTGACTTTCGGAGTGACTTCAGGGCGAAGGTCCCGTTTCTGCCCGCAGGGACCCCGCAGGTCCCGGCACACGGCTCCCCTCCCGCCGAGCCGATAAGGCTTTGCTTTCCCACCGTGAGAAACAACCTGACTGTGCACATTTGAGTTGGTCAGGGAGCGGGGGGGTTATGTCGGGCAAGGATGTTTTTTGGGAACATTCAGTCTCTGGGCTGCTGGTAACTAATCCCTGGCTGCTTGCTCCGTGTGGGCTGAGCAGGAGGGCTGCTGGCCATGCCTCGCTTGGCAGATGCAAAGCCAGAGATCCCAGTGGATTTTCCTCTTGCTGGCAGGTCTCACGCGCCTTTTCAGGGCCTTGAAGTAGCCAGAGTGGTGGGTCCGTGTGCAGGTGCTGGGGAAGGAGGGTCTCTTGGCTCAGTGCAGGGCTGAGCTGGTGCTGGTTGTGTGTGAGATGGGACTGTCACTTGTGTCCTTGGTGGCCCTTTTTGGCAGGAGATTTTTGCCCCAAGTCTTCTCCCTGCGGGGTGTCCTCTGCCCTGGGCAAGGCCAGGGTGGTGCAGTCTCTGCTGTGCACCTGGTGGTGCCTGGCATCGTGGTGACACTGGGTTTAATGCCACCTCCCTGCCTGGGGGTGGCCTCATTACCCAGGGGGCCCTCGAGGCACTACAGCGTGTCCCTGTGCTGGTGAACCCAGAGCAAGTATTGGAGGGCATCTGCTGATGGGCATGCCCGGGCAGGAGCTCTGCCTTCATTGACCCCTTTAGCACAGTAGAGCAGGGACAGGAACTCAGGCTCCCCTGTCCTGCAAACCCCACTGGATTTGGGGCAGGGCACCCACACCTAGATGGGTCGTGGGGCGGGTGCTGGGTGGCAAAAGTTCAGGATGGGTTGAGCACCCTGTTTTGGGGTGGAGAAGCTCCCTGCTGGGCAGGTGAGCTGTGGTCCCACCAGGACATGTGCCTGTTCCATGGCACTGGGACAAAACCAGGGACTGGGATCCTGCAAGATGCACTGGGAATGGGCATGGAGACGTGGCTGTGGGGCCAGTGCTCATGTGGGGCTGATGTCCATGGGGTGGTGGTCCTGGATGGCACGTGCTGAGGCACTCGGTGGTCCCACCTGTGCTACATGACCACCCTCAGGCCCTGTGGGCACTGGGGGTGGCTCTTGCTCCTCCACTCTGCTGACTGGCAGTGGTGGGGACACGGCGCTGGTGCTGGTGGGCGGGCAGGCACGTCACTGGGAGATGTGGGGAAGGGCACAGGGCACGGGGGCTGTCCCTGGGTGGCAGCCGCCAGCTGGAATATATGTCACGTTCCAGCACTAATTACAGTAATTGGCTGGGGGAGGCCGTGCTGGCGCCTGCTCTAGCTCAAGGGGGAATGTGAGCAGCTCAGGTGTTTGATGATTTTTGTCCCCACTTTGTCATTTGTCCCCAGCCCACAGACACATCCCCATGTGCCTGAGGGGACACAGCTCATGCCAGGCACACACACACGTGGATGTCCCTCTCTCCAGCCCCAAATTACCTGGTGGTTACGGCACCCGGCTGGGAGGTGAAAGCCTCAGGCAGAGCCCAGCCCCGGCGGGGATGCTCTGGAACCTCGTAAATTAAAGGGAGCCCTTGACCACAAGGCTCTGGCACTGGGGTGGCCACACTGGTATGTGAATAATGCGGGCACTCCAGCAGGACAGAGCGATGGATGGAGCCTGGGCGGCTCCTCTCGCACAGGTCAGGCAGGACCCTGACTCGTCCTCACAAGTTGGAGTCTGCAGCAAGACCTGGATGTCCCCAGGCATCCTCCTGGCACTGCAGTGCATGGACCACCCGACTTGTCCCACCACATGGGGACAAGATGCCCGGGGACATCCCGTGCAGCTCTAGAACCCATCACACGGAGCAATTAGCACAAGTGATTGGATCATCTCAGTAACCCCGGTGCTCAGGAAAACTGAGATTATCTCAGTGCCTCTTATCTCTCCCAGAGGCCCAGGATTAAGCTGGGGTGATGAAACAGTGCAATGTCTGCCTGTCTGTCCTTGCTGTCTGTTGAGCACCTGTGCAGGTGCAGGAGGGGCTCAGAGGGAGTAGGAAGGGGACATGTGTGGGTCATGGATTAAAAGAGGAGAGGCCAGGCAGTGCCCAAAGCATCAGCATCAGTATTGGCATTGGTGTTGCCATTGGTGTTGGCATCGGCACTGGGATCAGTGGGTATGGCACTGGGACACCCTCAGGCCACCTCTGCCCCCCACAGCCCCAAGCCACAAAGCCCAAACCCACTGAGCAGGCAGCAGGACACAGGCAGGCCTGGGGCTGAGGGCAGCCCTGTGAATGCTGGCTGGTGGTGGAGCACAGGGTGGGGTGGGTTTGGGGTCTGCCCCCATTTTGCCCCAGGCAGTGCTGTCTCTCCTCCACGGGGAACCGGCAGCTGCTCCAACCAGTTTGTGGGTCTGGGCGGTGACACCTCCTGCCCGAGGCCTGATGGAGGGCTGGGAAGTGCTGGTACAGATGCCAAGGAACAAACAAGAGCCGCTTGTGTCCTGCTGGGCACGGAGCCTGGCAGCGGGGGGGATGGTGTGCTGCTCTCCCGGCACGGGGCTGTGGGGGGCCAGAGACTGGGCTACTCCTGGAGCAGTGACCGTGAGCTGTGGGAATCTGAGGCACGAAAACATGGAGGGACCCATCCAGGTGATGGAGCAGAAGGTGCTGGCAGTGATGGCAGAGACATCTGGTGCCTGGACACCAGCTCTTCCCCTTCAGCATCCCAGGCTGAGCCCCCGGCGCTGCCCTTGGCGCTGCCTCCCCCCAGAGAGCAGTGGGACGCACTCCTGCGCCTGGGTGGCCTGATCCCGGTCCCCTGCGTCCTCCTCCGTGGGAGCAACCGGGATATTAAGTGTCAGCGCTGGAGGGAGAAATACAAGCGGAGGAATCTCGGGAAACTGGTTTTACCCCTCCGTCCGGTGCCGGCGGCAGGACGGCGGCTGTGGCGGCGCTCCTCCCTCGGCAAAGGCATATAATGCCTGCCATGGTCCCGGGAGCCCGCACTGCGCGGCGGGAGGCGGGCAGGGGTGCTGGGAGCGAGCCATGGCCTCCATGGGCATGCAGGTGCTGGGCATCGCCCTCTCTGTCATCGGCTGGTTGGCCTCCATCCTCTGCTGCGCGCTGCCCATGTGGCGGGAGACGGCCTTCGTGGGCAACAACATCGTGGTGGCCCAGATCATCTGGGAAGGGCTGTGGATGAGCTGCGTGGTGCAGAGCACGGGGCAGATGCAGTGCAAGGTGTACGACTCGCTGCTGGGCCTGCCACAGGACCTGCAGGCTGCCCGTGCCATGGTGGTGGTGGCCATCGTCCTGGCCATCCTGGGCACGCTGCTCGCCGTCGCCGGCGGCAAGTGCACCAACTGCGTGGAGGACGACACCGCCAAAGCCAGGGTCATGATCCTCTCGGGCATCATCTTCATCGTGGCCGGCGTCCTCATCCTCGTCCCCATCTCTTGGTCAGCCAACAGCATCGTCCAGGACTTCTACAACCCTCTGGTCGCCGACTCCCAGAAGCGGGACCTGGGCTCGTCCCTCTACATTGGCTGGGCGGCCTCGGCGCTGCTGCTGCTGGGGGGTGGGATCCTGTGCTGCACCTGCCCCTCCCGGGGGGAGAAGCCCTACTCTGCCAAGTTCACGGCCGCCCGCTCGCTGCCAGCCAGCAACTACGTGTAGGAGCCGCCTCGCCCGCCTGGACCCCCCGGCCACCACAGGGAGCCAGGACCTCCCGGACCGGCAGCCCGCCCCCCCGGCCGGGCTGGGGCTGGCCGGACGCCGGGGCACTGCGAGGGAGGGCAGACAGAGCTGCCTTTGTTCCGCCTGGATTGGAGCCGGTTCTTTAATCTCGGCTGAGACAGGGAACAAGGAGATCCTGTCCTGGCTGCCCGCGGCGGGGGTCCTGTTCCCCCCGCCCGGAGCATCCAGCAGAGGCATCTTCTCTGAGATGCCACCTGATTCCCCCCTCGAGCATCTCCTGGCTCTCGGTATCGGTGGTGACAGAGCTCCCAGAGCCCGTTCCCACGGGTGGCACGGGGCTCTCACCGGGTGAAGCTCCCGGGGACTGCCTGTCCCTCGGGATGGGTGGCGGTGTCGGTGCTGGTGGGGACAGCGAACTTGTCCCACGTGGTCGCGGGGACGTGGTGGCTCTGCGGGCCCTGGCAGGGTGTCGAGGGTTATCAGGGGCTTTCACCTGCCTGTACCCTAAATTTTGGCTGTGACCTACTTTCGGGGCTCGGAGCGGCCGTACAGAGTGTGATTTCTCGCGGCAGCTCCCCAGGGCGGGGGCATCATTATCCTGGGAGTGGGAAGGCAGCGGCCGGGCTGGGAGAACCGGTCGGGGAGGCGGGAGCCGAGCGGTTCCGTGCACTCGCGTGGAGGGGGGCGACTCTCGGACCCGACCCCATCCATCGCCCCTCTCGACATCCCCTGAGCGGGGTGCCAGGAGCGGGAGAGGGTGGTCCCAGTCCCCCTGGCTGTGCTGCCGTCCGTCCCCGCATCCAGCCTTCCCGCATTAAACGGCAGCTGCTCAGACCCCGCTGTGCCTCTTATTCTTCACCCTCTCCAACACCCGCTAGCGGGACAGCCCGGTGCTCCTGTGCCGCGGACCCCCATTCCCTTCCGATCCCCCAAATCTGCTCTCCGGAGCCTCCCGCCCATCCTGTTCCAGCCCCGGTACCCCCGCCACTCCCTCCCCGGGCCACCCCGCGGGTGACAGCGGTGTCTCCATGGCACAGTGCCTTGGTGACGCCAGGGCTGTCCCATGCCTGTGTGACCTTCCCACCCGAGCAGGAGGAAGGCGGCGGGCGCCGGCGAGGGCGAGGGCGAGTCGAGGCGCGCTGGCCCCGGGGCCACCCCACAACCGCGGCTGGGAGCACCCCGGGGCCGGCGTGGGCAGCGCAGGGTGCTTTGCCTATCTCGCTTCCGGCACTGCGAGTGCTCCGCCTGCCTGAGAACATCCTTCCCTCCCTCCTCGGGGGGTGTGGGGACCAGGGCTGACTCCGGCTGCCTGGCTCTGGGGGTCTCATCTGGGTGGGGGGGCTTGAGGACTCCCAGCTCTCCCACCCCTTCACTGGGAATGGGAATGGTGGAAAATATTGCTGTGGCCCTGTGGTGGCAATGGCCAGGTGGAAATGTGAGTGTGATGCTCTGGCAAACATCCCTGCTGCCCCTTGGGATCCGTGGGGGCACTGCTTTTCCTTGGGGGGCCACTGCTTGTCCCTGTGTGGGTGGTCATGCACCCTGTTTTGGGTGTCTCTTGTGGCCCAGGTCCTGCTGGCTGGGAAAGGGTGCCTGGGATGGCTCCCATCGTGGTTTTTTGGCCCAAAGGGTCTTTCATGGCCCAAGGTCCCAGTGCTGGGTGTCTATCAGACCACCGAGGCATGAAAGGTGCTGGGGAAGGAGCGGGAACTCAGTGGGAAAGGAGAAGCTGGAGAAACCGAAACTGGGGTAGGACAAATGATGGTGAAACCTCCGGCAAGTGCCGCAGGGTGTGCCGGGCACAACCGATACCCCGCTGAGCTCGGGGCCATAAAAACTCGGCCGGTCCCGACTGCCAGGCACAGGAACACGGCGGTGAACTCTGCTCCGTGCTGGGCTGAGCTGGGTTTGGGTTGAGCCAGGGCCACGGCAGCCACGTGTGACTGTGGTGGAGCTGTCTGTGTGTCTGGTGTGTGCCTAGAACAGCACCCCTCTGCCAAGGGTGATGTCTGTGGTGACCCTGTAGCCCCTCGCCAGGGTTTGCCCTGTTGAGGCTGTTCCCGGGGCACTGAAAGTGCTGCACCCCACAGCCAGGATTGGAGCAGAGCTGAGCTCTGACCCATTTCCAGCACCCCAGAGAGGAAATCCCAGGTCCAAAGGGCACTGCAGCAACCTGCACTCCATCTGGGAGCAGCCAGTGCTGCAGGGAGGGGGAGCTGCCTTCCCTGCCCGTGCCCCACAGACAAATGCTCATGACCAAGGAGGCTGAAGCACCAGCGGTGGAGCAGGGCATGGGGTGGGCACTGGGGGGCTGCTGCCACAGCAGGACATGGGGTGAGTGTGGGGTGGGGAGCATGGCAGGAGGGGCACAGCGTGCTCCCCATCCCACTTCCCAAAAGCCATCACCTCTCTGACACTTGCCATGCACCAAGGAGGGGTGATGGCAGAGGCTGCCCTGTGCTGTGGGTACATTGTATGGGACAGTGGGACACACGAGGGCCCCTGCACATTGGTCTGCTCAGGGCCTGGGTCCTGAGTGTCCCCTGTGTGCCCCCATGCTGTCGTGCAGCAACATCCCATGCCACACATGTCCCCATGTCACTTGTGTCCCCATGCTGTCCTGCAGCCGTTCCCACCCCAGTGGGGAGTGGGACACACCAGATGAAGGCTGTGCTCTCCAGCAACCCCCTGGCTTGGGAGGGGGCCACATCCATGACAGCTGTGCCCTGTCCCCGCAGGTACTGACCCTGACAATGATGTCGATGCGGACAAGCGGGCTGGTGACAGCCATTGTGGGCTGGGTGGCCACCATCATCATCTGTGCCCTGCCCATGTGGAGGGTGACAACCTGCTCGGGCTCCACCACCATGGCGCCCCAGTCGTACTCGGACGGGCTGTGGGTGACCTGCGCCTATGATGCCTCGGGGCAGTCACAGTGCAGAAGCTACAACTCCCTGCTGGAGATCACCCCCGACCTGCAAGTTGCCCGTGTCATGGTGGTCACCGCCCTCATCACGGCCTTCGCCAGCATCCTCATCTCCGTCGTGGGCCGAGACTTCGCCAGCTGCATGGGTGGCATCGACAAGAACGGGTACACCGCGGTGTCAGGAGCCTTGTTCTTCGCAGCCGGTGTCCTGGTCCTCGTCCCTGTCGCCTGGACCACCAGCAACATCGTCAACAACTTCTACACCCCCATGTCGGCCGAGGCCGTCAGTAGAGAGCTGGGGGCTGCCCTCTACATCGGCTGGATCGCCATTGTCCTCTTGCTCTCCGGTGGGATTATCCTGAGCCGCTTGGGAACCCAGTCCCAGCAGGATTCCTACGTCAAGAGTTACAGAGGGGTGAAAACCTGTGGTCCAACTGGCTACCCCATGAAGGACTACGTGTGAGCCCCTGTGCCCAGGTGCCAGACCAAGGGAGAGCACCACTGTCCCTGCCCTGCTTCCCTGTGCCACCCCACCCCCATCCCCACCCCCATCCCCTTCCCTCTCTCATCCCCATCCCTGTCCCATCCCCATTCCCATCCCCATCCTTAGCTCCATCCCCATCCCATTCCCATCCCTATTCCCACCCCCATCCCCACACTGGCTGCACCCTAGCATGGTCCTCCAGCGTGTGCCCTTCCCCAGAGCAGGGACTATAAACAACCTGGTGCCACCGAGGCTGCCTGGGCTCATTCTGAACGGCGCGGTGTGGGGAGGAGGGTGATATACCCTGGGAGTGCTGTGCCCTGCCAGCCTGATGCCAGGTCAGGGCTGCTGCCTCAGTGCCTGGCACGTCCCCATGTCCCCATGGGGAAGCAGCAGTAGCCAGCCAGGGTGCTCCTTGGGTATCCCACGGCAGGGAAACTGAGGCAGGGAGAGGATGCTGAGAACTGAGAGGGGCACAAGGGGGACACCAGGTCCTCTGAGTCCCCAAAGAAAGGCCCAATCCCCACTCCCAGGCTCCTGGCCACCCACCCCGGAGGTTCCACAGCCCCATTGCTCCAGGAACAACACACAGCAGACAAACAGAAGGGACAGGGATTTATTGAACAGTCAAGTGCAGGGCTGGGGACAGCCACGATCCCCAGCTGCCAGGGATCCCAAGACCTGGGGGAACAATGTGGAAGGATGGCAAGAGCCATGGGAAGGGTCAGTGTTGGAGATCTGGGATACCTTGGGTGGGGGACAGGGACAGACACAGCCACCGCCTCCCACCTGGGAAATGCTTCTTTCCCCTGGTGGAAAGAAGCAACCTGTTCTCAAGGACATGGGAACAAGATGAGCAGGAACAGGCCTGGAGGAAGGGAAAAGGGAAATATTTTTACCCAAATATTCCAGCAAGAGATTTGGGTAAAAAACTTCCCAAGGGATCAGTGGGGGAAGAATTGTGTAGGCAGCACAGCAAGGGGCTGGGGGAACAGGCTGGGCAGGCAGTGCTGGGCGACTCCTGGGTGGGGAGCAGCCACCAGCTCCCCAAGTTCCTTTCAAACTCATTTCCCACCCAGACCATTAACTACAAAGCTCTGAGAAAATGAGTGATTTGAGCAGCTGCTGTGGGATGAAAGGTGGATGTGGCGCTTGGCAGCCTCTCCAGCTGGGTGCCACCTTGGCCCTGCGGCTCCTGCTCTGGCTGTGGAGGTCTCCTGCACCTCAGTGTGCACTGGGTTAACCCCTGGGGAGGATGAGGATGGGAGACCAACCTCCAGCAGTCCCTGGGTAAAGCCCATGGGGGGCTGAGAGTGGAAGATGAAGAAGGATCCAGTTTTTGACCACGAGTGCCAAGGTGGGCACAGAGAGACCTCCTGGACAGGAGATGGCTCTGAACAGCCATGTGGGTCTGCAAAATGTCACGGTGAGGGCTGAGGTGTTGGGGACAATACCTGAATGTCAGAGCTAATGGTGGTGCCCAGGAGACCCTGGTGAGACCAGGAGACCCTCCCCATGCTGAGGAGCAGACAAGGCCCTTAAGCCCAGACCTCTGGGAGAAGGACATGGGGAAGGCAATGGGGACACTCCCCCAAAATACTGTCCCCCCCAGCAGCTGCACTGCTCCAGGAGGGGGTCACTGAGCTGAGTTTTATGTGGGGGGCCAAGTGCTCACCCTCCCTCCAGAGCCATGCCAGCTCTCAGTCCTCCTCGAGGGGGGGCACAGGGCATTTCTGGTAGAGATAGACCACTCCGGAGATGTAGCCGGTGCCCCGGGTGCTCTCCTCCTCCGAGGTGGCCCTCTCCCAGTGCTCCACCTCCTGGGCCAGCAGCTTCTGCCAAGCTCCACAGCGCTCCAGCTT